GTGCGCAACAGGAAAACGCAAGCAGTACCTGTGACAGCGAACACACACACAGACCAAGGGTGAAACCGGTCACTCTTAAAAAAACATTTCTGAGAAAACAATGAGCACCTCTGAGACAGCATCGAACCAAATGATGACACATTGCGCTTGTATTGTTAAGAAAGTGTAATATTCTGGGTTGGGTTAGTGGAGTCTGTAGCGCCTTTTGAAACTTATTTGCCCACACACTGTCAAAGAAATGTCAGTGGCACTAAACAAGTCAAACGCCTCCCTTTTTCCTGAATTCATTCATGATAGAAAAATCAATTCTGCACCAAGTGCTGTGCTCTTGTTTAGAAAAGAGGTTCGCTTTATTTTTGTGGCTTTTTTTTTGCTACTCATTTAACTGCTTCTTGGTTTTGCACGGCATCTACTGTACAACACCCTTGTTTTCATTTTTTCTCTGCACATGACATATTTTTGAGGTTCGTCTGCGCACCCACACTGATGCAGGCGTGTTTTGACACGTTTCCTCGACAGATTATTAAATCCTCTTCAGCCTCTAATAATACTATTATGTTTATGTGTGTGTGTTTTTTTTGTTGCGCGAGACACTTGCAGAAAGAGCTCAAAGTCGAACCAGTGACAGCGCTAACCCCCATGCTGCGTCTGTGTGTTTGCTCAGACTGGATCCGCAGACTAATTTGTATTAGTAACCAAATAATCGCATTAATTCCCATTAGAAGCATCACAAGTGGTGAGCATGAAGACATCACAACACCTACGTAGAGTAAGTGATGGCGCTGCCGCTTCGCTTGACACACTAAATAAAGACGCCTCTCGATGCTGAGCCAACAATAATATATTTTCTTATTCATTTTCAGCCTTTTCTCCCCCTTTTGTGTGCCAATGATTAGTATCCTTTTAAATGAAAGGCACATAATACTTCATTTCTTCAGGGACGTGTGGTTTAAAAAGCAGCGGGCCAGATATGATACCACTGATAAGTGTGTTATGGGAAAAAAACACACGCGGTACCTGTGATAATGCACACACTGAGGGTGAAATATATTTTAATATTATTTAAATATGAGGTGTCTCTTTAGCATCCAGTCTGTCATGTCATTTTTCATGATTTCTTTACAAATGTAGCCATCAGGCACAAAATCCTGCCTGAACAATTACACTTGTGTACATGCATCTCCCCAACACAAAGCCACACAAGGCTTGTAAAAACCCACCTTGAACAGAGCTAAATCTGCATTCAGCACATGATTATAACACCGCACAGCTAGTATTTTTAAAACGGCTTTCTGTGTTTCAAAACCCATTTTTCCCTCTTTTCTGTGTGATACAAAACGGTATATGTTAATTGATAATCAGCAGTGTTGATTCAGTGGTGCATTCAGTGCAAATCTGTGCCCTTCTGGATGTCAGAGGGTTTTCACAGCCACGTCGGTGCCAACCTAGCTGGCAGTGCCGGCACCTGTTGGCGGTGCCAAGGCCTGGCAGGGGTTATCGATGCTCTCTGATGGTGCCCGACAATCACAGTGGAAATGACTGCGGCTGCTTGCGTCATGCCAGATAGAAAAGAGCATTTGCCGACAATGGCTCGCTTTCACCATCGCTCCTGTTTTCCGGATGCTGCTAACGACGGCCAAGGAAGAAAAAAACTGGTTAAAAAAAAGAAAGAGAGAGGAACGGGAGCCGCTGCCGTGAACATCATGTAAAACATGTCAAACGTGGAAAACATGTCAACGTGCAGAACGTTGAGTAGCAATGCTGTGCAAGCCGAGGTGATGCAAAGCAATCTGCTGAAGAGAAGGTGTGGGTGTAGGGGGGCTCCAGCCTGTCAGATTCATGTTAGTACAAATCACAGAGAACCTGAAAAGGAGGCGCATGCATGCACACACACACGATATTCATGATTATTATTTCTATTCATGAAAAATAAAGTCAAATGTCCTTTACTTTCATGTATCTATGATGTGGTAAACTTACAAATAATCCATTCGTGACTTTTATGTCTTAAAGGGCTTGGTGGAAGTCTTGTTGCTGAATAATATGAATCTCTGAAGATGTATAAATAGTATTTACTCCACAGTTTGGGTCCTTTAACCACACTGCACACCACAGCTGGGTTTAATGCAAGTGTTGGCAGCTCACTGAAAACCAGAGACTGGTGGAGATAAGAATTGATTGCTGAATCTTTGAGTGACAGCCTCTGCACGTGAATTCAAACATGCTGGGGTCGCATATCAGCATTTTCAACAACTCTTCTACTTCCTGTTAAAAAAACCACATACGACGTGGGACCCTTTTAAAATGCAACCGCCTCCTCAAAACTTACACCTCACACTAACTAGGTGTCAATATTGCAAGACGTTCCATCTCAGGTCCGAAAGGTGAGTTTCACGTTGCATTTTTTTTTTCCGTTAAAAGCCTCTTTGATGGCCTCCTGCTATGAATTCCTAATGCAGTGTTTTTGGACACAAATGTATTTTAAAATGAACAAACTTTTGACCCCACAAAGGTGGGTGGAACAATGATTTAGTTTCACAACCAGGGGGGTGAATGAGAGGTGTAACTGTGATGCATCACTTCTTCCGTGATTGGTTTTTTTGATCGGTTCCAGGTTTGGCTTTATTTTAAAGACCTCCAGGTCTTTCCCTGCCTAAAAGAAGCACTTTATGTAAATTTAGAACCATTTTCTTTGTCGGGCTTCTCCGACTGCCGTCACTGGCTAAGCTAAGATGCTTACAACTGCCGGGATGCATTGTTTATGAAACAGCAGCTTTGTGTGAGACGATTTGCAGTCTTTTTTTTTCTTTTTTTTTTGCGGGGATGAGCTTTATCAACCCTGCAAACACATCGTAAGTCAGCATGTAGCATTATGTAGCACTTCATGCACACCTGACCTCCACGATCGACAACATTCAGGTTCTGTCGATGTGATAGGTACACACACTTCCTGTTTTCTGTTGGTTTCCTGTTTTTGTTCTTGCACAGCCTGGACAGACGTGCTTCTTCATTTCTCTTTGATGTACACACTGGCCTGATGACAAAGCCACACCTTATGTTAAGTGTGAAGAAAAGCACGCTTTTTATGAAACAAGTGTCCCCATGCTTTCATTTAATGTGCAAAATCTATTTCCCCATGTATTCTCAACGCTGAACTTTGCCTCACACACTCCCCCATCTGGCTCTTTCTAGGATCTAAAGATGGAGAGTCAGATATGCCACCCCTCACACCATGTGTGGGTGTGTCCATCATTAAAATGACCTTTTTCTCATGAAGTCAGAGTGAGGATCTTATTATTGGGTCACCTTAATGGTTCGGTAAAAACACCAGATCAGGCCTTTATTGACAATACCAACAGATTAACTTGTGTGATGTTTTGGCAGTTCGGCCAGCAGGGACTGGTTTGAGAAATAATTACAAAATAATGACAATAGCTTAACATCAGCCTGTTCAGGGTTTTTGTTGACAATATCAACAGAGATTAGCTCATCTAATATTTTGGTCTAACTTGCAGTGGAGGTAAAGTTTTAGCACATATGGGAAGACTGCTGAAAGCTAAATGTTGAGAGAGGGAAATGAGAGATGTGGCAATGAAGACTGCTTTTAAAAAAAAAACTGTATTACTTGTACTATTTACAAAGTAATAAGTCAGTAATAGCCCTGAGAAATCACTAAAGCTTAATATTCAAGTTGATAAACAACCAACGTACATATTAATACAAAAATATGAGTCTAAATTGTATATCATTGCTGTAAGGGTGGAAAATGTAAATAAATATATTAATATGTAGTCAGTTTTTATTTGAAATAAAGCTATTATCTGCTTTTTAGACTTATATGTGTAATTTCTTATATTACTTTGTAGCGTATTTAGTTTTATATTTTTATTTAGTCTTTATTTAACTAGGAAAATATGACTCTTGAGATTAAAAATATCTTTTGGAAATGTGTGTCTGCCAAGATAAACATCAGCACAATCAACTGTGATCAGTAATCCACACATGGAATAGGAACATTATAGGTACTTATGTGTATGAGACAAAGCAAAATGGTTAATGTTAAAGCTCAGACCTAAAGCAGGGTCAGTTATGGTCAGTCATCATATTTGCATCCTGAGGTCATTTAAAGTGGCCTTAAATATATTTGGTGTATGGTTTGGATCAAACTCCAAACAATATTTCTACTCTGCAAAAATTTATTTTTATTCCTAGTTATGAGATTATTTTGGAGTTTTAAATAAATGGGTTTTGTTTTTTGCAAACACAGCATTTGTTAAATTTTTTCTCACTTTTACGTTTTGCTTTCAGTTTGTCTCAAAGGGCCAGCCACCTTACTTATTTTGCTATTCTGACTTCATCTGGATGTAGATTAATTTGTCAAACAAAAACTATACATTTGGCCCAAAGTAAAGTCCTGAAATAAAGAAATAAATAAAACACATCATAAATTAAGGTATCGCGCGCGCGTGTGTGTGTGAGCATCTGTGTGTTACTCGGTAATAAATGCAGGACCGCCTCACTCTAATCAAGCTGATTAAAAATTCCTGCGCGCACAGCCGGAAATCGCACCACCGTTCCTCCCCGTTGTGTGTATTAGTGAGTGTGTGTGAATGCATGTGTGTTTATGTGTGTGTGGTTTCGCTCCCGGTCCACTTTCTCCACTTTGTCTCCGCCAGGACTTTTCCTGCCTGAGATGCGGAGGAATAATCTGTTTTGATTTTAATAGGGAAGGCTGCTGGTGCTGGTGGTGTGTGAGGGGATTATTCCTCTTATTTTCTCTTATTCTCACACACTTTACACCCCATCTCCTGCGCTCTCTCTCCCACACACACACATCCCCATCCTTTCTTCTATTTTTTTACCCTATTTTTTTACCCCCTCTTACCACGCCATTTGAAATGAGGAGGAGAGAAGGAAAGCAGAGGCAGCGGCAGCACCAGCAGCGAGGAGAGGAGAGGGGGGAGTGATGAGTCAATACAACTAATAATTTAATGGGGACAGAGAGGGAGAGACGGAGTGAGAGGGGGAGAGACAGAGAGGGAGATAGAGAGAAAGAGGAGCTCCGTCCGGACGCCAATCCCCAGCCAACAGGACACCTCCTACTATTACTATCAAGGCAGCTCTCTTATGCATCCACAGCGAGCCTTATTCATCCTCGGCATCGGAAAGTAAACCGCACTTTTTGACCCCCCTCTCCTTGTTTTATTTTGCGAACCTGTTTCGACTGTCCGCATATCGTCTCCACATCGCCTCCATGGCAAGCTCACACAGTCGCTTCTTAGTATTTTTGCTCTCTCTCAGTCTGCCGGCAGTCAAATCTAGCTAAGCCGACGCTGAGCTATTTTTTCCCGTAGTCCCTCCGTGAACACACACAGCGAGGGTTTGTTAGGTCTCGGCGGCGGTTGTTGTTGTTACAACTGTGTCCGAGGTGCTTGTGGTTCGTGCTGGCCGTACTGTGCGGCTGCCTGCTCGCCGTTTTGGATGTTGTGCTGCGAACTAAAGCCGAAGTCGCCTTCACTTGTAAGCGTTGCTAAATGTCGCCGGTTTTAACGCTTTCCGTTGCCGTCCTTTTTCCTCCACTTGGACGGAATTGGCTGTAACGTCAGGGCTGCACACTCCTGTCTCTCTCCGCTCCTGCCGCACACGCACAACCGCTTACCAATGTTCGCCTATCACGGTCCATCTCGACCTCGTCCTCCCTTGCACAGACCCGGGTTGTTGTTGTTTTTTCGCACCGCCTGCCAGTCCTCCGCCAAGAAGAGCAGGAGAAAGCATCTTTTTAAACACTGATTTTGGGAACCCCTCGCTGTCATGCACACGTAGAGAGATAACAAGAGAGGAACCGGGAGTTGTTTTTGGGGAGGGGGGGTTTCTTTCTTTTTTCCTTTTTCTTCTTCTATCTTTTCTACCCTGGCCAAACTTGAAGAAGAAGCGTTTTCCAGCCGGTGTTATATGCTCTCCAGTGCTGAAGTGCTGCGGTTCAGGTTGGTTTGAAGTTTTTTTCTTTTCTATTTCTTTTCTTTCTTTCTTTTTTTTTTAAACTCAACTTCTCCTCTCTTAACTCCCACCCCCCTTTGAGCAGGGGCGTCCAGGATTTTTGTAAATGGGGTGGCCCAGAACAAAGCAAGGGGGGCCTTGTAGAAAGCAGTGTTTGATGAATTGATTGTGACTTGTTTTGTATTAAGAAACTCTTTTACAAAGTGGTTAAACTCTTTATTTAAGTCAAAGTCTACAAGTACTAAAACTTTAGCAGTACTTTTAGGTACTTACAGTTAAAATATTGATGATGCAGAAAAATATACATCATCTTATCATATTTGCTGATTCAATAGTGTACATAGCACTTTATTTTGCATCAAAAGACTAATTTAATTATTTTCTATATTGTTGGGTAGCTTTATTTATAATATTAAATTTTTTTTATTGGATTTAAAAAAAATTGAATAATAATAATAAGTGGTAAAAACTTCAAAGAGTTTTTGTGTTTTAAGGTCATATAAAAATCCTGACCTGGATCCAGACTGTATCCGGGTCTGGATTCCTTTGGCTCCCTCTCTGTGGGGAATTAGTTGCTTCATTGGATGTTATGAATCGAGGAGTTCATGATCTTTTGAGTGGGGGTGGATGATTTTGCCCTTTTCACTCTTTGACAACAGCATTCCAGTTCAGTCCACCGGCACCCACTAACCACCACGAATAATTATTTTTCTGTTGTGACCTAATATTATTCATATTACTATTATTATTGATCAGATTTTCAAAGTTTGCCCGAGCACTTCAAATGATGTAGGAAGCTGTGTGTGTGTTTGTGTGTGTAAGCACACCTGTGGGTAAAGCAGCCATCCTCCATCTTTCCTTTTTGTCTCTTCCTCCCTTTTCTTTCCCACTTTAGATGACTACCCTCATGAGTCAGCTACTGCCTGTTTTGGAGTTTCCTCAAGCTGCTTTCTCCCCCCCACATCCTAAAGTTGTAAACTCATTGCTCGCCACGGGTGTTTCGCTGCACTTGCAGAATCTAAAAATAAAGTTCACACCTGTAAAAGCTTGTAACTGATTTTGTTTGTCTGTCACAACAAAATGACGGTGCGGCCTTTTGCCTTCTTTCTTTTTTTCTCCAAGCTGCGTCACGAATGGTAAGCCACACAAAGTGACTCACAAACTGAATTACGTTAGTTTCCCCTTCCGTGCGTGCTCCGCAGCACAACCTTGTTCCTTGAACTGTACTGTATTTATTGAAGTGGAATCTCCCAGCAAATTAATGTATTTGCTCTAAAACCTCGGCCTGTTTGCCTCCGCTCGCATGGGAATTTCTAGCGGGACACCCATACATAATACATGCGTTAAAAAATGGGAACATTACAGCAGCAAGATGACATCACCGCGGCCCGAGTCATCATAACCGAGGCGAATTGACAGTTACTGCCGTAATGGGTCCGTTTTCAGAGGTCTCAATTACTTAAAGGACTTTTTTTTGCTCTATAAAAATGTCCCTTCACATCTTCACATGTCAGTGATATCAACACAAAAGATTTTGCGTTCATTGCCCCTTTTGTATCACATGGCAACTCTTCATTCTCCTGCTTCTTTTATGCCACACACATATCTCCCCTGGCAGCTGATTACATGCTGTTTCTGCCTCCCCCAGGTGATAGTGAGCTGAGGTGCTGAGAATGATGGAACATCTCAGCGAGACGTGTTTGGGCAAGGAGAACTCAGAGCTGGTCAACAGCATGGCAGACGCCAAGGCCCCGCCGGCCAAGCTGCCCCGGCTGGAGCAGAACGGCAGCCCCCTGGGACGGGCCAGGCTGGGAAGCACCGGGACCAAACTCGGAGGGGTCCCGTACAAACCCACCAGCCACCTGCTGAAGACCTGCCATAAGAAAGGTAAGAAAGACCGAAACGGATCAAAAGGAATTTATTGAGAATAATTGTAAACATATAATTGTATTCTTTTTTGTTTTTTGGAGTGTTTATTGGCAAAAATAATCAATTTGAAGACTTCCCTCTGGGTCCTGGGAAATTGTGTGGCGCTTTGTGCGTTAATCACACAGGTGAAAATTAATCGCAAATCAAGTGATCAAGCACATATCCCAAATATGTGCGTCTAAAATTAGAATAGTTTCTGCTTTTATTTCTTTTATATGACAGAAAACTGAATATTTTAGGGGGGTTAAGTGTTGGTAGGAAAAACAAATGATCGGAAAATGTTTTCACTGCTTTTTTCTTTTAAGAAAAAAACTTTTTGTTATTTTACAGACAAAATTATTTTAAATTCAAAATAACCATTTACTTTCAGGCCTTATTTTTTGACATCTTTTATAGTTGTCCTTTATACACAACAAGATAATCTTGAAGGTGTTAAATGTTAGCCGCAGTGCCAGCCTGTATCAGCCGCATGCAATACAAATAAAGTATACGCAGCTCTGCGTGTATTTGTAATGACTGAGAGGAAACATAACCAATGTAAAAAGAGGAAAGTAATTTAAATGCAGTTTAAATAGGCCCCCTCCCACACACACACACAGCACCTTCCACCCACCACCACCCCTGCATGCTCTCCAAAACTCTTAAACCTTTTTACAATGCTTCTTTAGTCATCTCAGTACACACACACACACACACACACACACACACACACACACACACACACACACACACACTCCCACTTATTTGCCCAGACAATAGCTAATAGAAAAGCACTGTGAGAATTATTCCTGTGCCGTGCTGCATAGCGCTGTGTCACTGCTGCTCTCTCCAACCCCGGCACTCCTGCTCTGACATTTGTTTATTAAGGGAAAGTTTCAGTCCTTTAAGAGCCATTGCTGCTTAAAGGGAGCCTTTACTTTGAGATTATGACATAGCTTTTTAATATAACCAGTGTCATCTTGTGAAAAACACGCCAGGCAAAGCCATCCAATATGTGAACCTTCATTTTATGATTATGTTTCTTTCTTTTTTTTTGAGTTTGAAATCCTGCAGGTTTGGAGTTGTAATAGCACTTGGCTGCGAGGGCTCAAATGTTTGTTTGTTTGGCTGGTTTGGTTTTCTTTGGCCAACAGGGACTAAGGAAGTCTTGGAATGTAGCTGCGAGAGTGTCCTCGGATGGGCCATTTCTCTTATTCGCTGCTTTTTATCTACGTGTTGCACACCAGCTGAGAGAGCCTAATTTCTCACCTTCATCATCTCTGCTTCTCTTGGCCTCCTACAACGTTTGCTCCTCCAAGCATCCTCTTTGCCCTCCCCTCCTCTTCTTTTTCCTCTCATCCTTTTTTTTTTGTCAAATTTTAGAAAAGAGCGAAGCAGCCGAGAGAGGCGGCTGGTCAGCCACGGAGGCTTCGCAGAGGGCCCACAGTGGGCATTGTGTCCGAGCCCGAAACACTATTTACCGCAGCCCTCTCTGGGCTCCCTGGAAACAAAGCCAGTATTGATCCCCCAAATGAACCTGCACAGCAGTCTTTATTGTTAGATCTTTATCTATTAAAATCAGGGGAGGAGAAAAGCAGCTCTTTCAGCACATTCTTTTGCATCTGTTGGCTTATTGATTGTTTTGCCAGAGCTGTGTGCATCTTCTGGAATGCTTGGGATTAGAAAATATGGCAATGTTTATCATTTCTATCTGCACTTACAGCGTATGTAAAGAAACGTTCCCAGGTGGCAGCAGGTAGAGCAGAGACCTACTGAAAAAGTGGGGAAACAGGGCAACATTTACAAAGTACAGTAAGCAAAAGATTACCTCCAGTCAGTACTTTGACATAATTTTGACTTTCTGTTTTTATTCAGACTAAAACTTCAAAAGGCCAAGCTGCCCCTGTGCCCTCAAAGTCTAAATTTCACGCCTGTTATTTTAGCCAAAATGGCATATTGGATGATATTTGCACAGTTGGTCCCTTGAACATTTGACAGTCTTTGGACAAGGATTGTTCATTCCACCTAACAGCAGAGCCACTGTTGACACAGACTCGTAAACCTCAGGGCGCAGAGGTGGCTCGGGATTTGTAGCGCTGCATCATGGGAAGATGATTTTGGGTTGGCAGTCAAGGGGAAAAAGGCTAATGTGATCCCAGCACCTTGACAGTGAATAAACTGTGTATTGTGCCAAAAAGAGAGACGAGACTTTCTGTTTTTTGCGGCATGTTTGTTCACACGCGGTTAAGGTTATCATTCTCACAAGCAATACCAATCAGTGCAGGCCATAGTGCAACACCTCTGCAATATTATGTCATCATCTTAAAGCTTTGGGCAACATGAAGGAATGCTACAACATTTAAAATGAATCTTAAAATGGGAATTTGGAGCAAAAAGCATCAGGGGGGAGATGATGGAAATGGAAAAAAAAGAAAGAAAAAAGAGGGCAATTTCTTAAAAGACGAAGCAAATTCTGTGTCTAAAATTATGCACCCAAGTAATATTTGATCCCTCAAGCTGATCATAGAGTTTGGCAATGGGACAAAGAGGTGAAGGTGTTGAAGGAAATTGCCCTATAAAAGATGAAATATGCCTTTGTGGTCCAAACTTGTGTTCAGAGCTTAAACCTGGATGTTCACTTCTAATCCCTCGACAGCCAACCTCAGTGTAACTTAATCATCTGCACTAAATTTTAATCCCATTCCTCTGCAAACAGAGGACTGAAGGTCAGAGTTTTGCATGTGAAGAAATGGCTTGTGTCTCTTTGTCTGCAGGCAACATGCTGCCTGTGTTCTGTGTGGTCGAGCACTACGAGAATCCCATGGATTTTGACAGCAAGGAGGAGCACGCTGAATTTGTCCTGGTGCGCAAGGACATGCTCTTCAACCAGCTCATCGAGATGGCCCTGCTGTCACTGGGCTACTCCCACAGCTCAGCAGCCCAGGCCAAAGGTAACCCCCTCACCCACTCTCATCATTGTCATCTCTTTCTTCTCTGATCTGACGCTCTTCTTTTATGCTTATCAGCGTCTTTTCTACAGCATTTTCAGACATGCTGGTGCTTGTGCACACACACACTCACTCAAACCTACAGACACACATACACTCTGTGACCATAATAGCTTACCGCCAGCAGATCTGAAGCCACAGTAACACAACCTGACACTGATCCCAGAAAGTCTCCCAGGGGTCATACGCTACATATTCCCACACAGAGGTATCCTCGCACTCTCACAGAGGCTAGCTGCACAGTAAAATGTTTACATGCACATTCACTTGAGTGCTCATATTGTATATATTTATATACATATACCCTCGGTGACAGTGGGTGGGAGGGGCAGGTGGAGGAAAGGGTCTGCTAATTGCACTTGAGCACACGTAGGCTGAGTGCGGCTGTTTCAAGGTGCCTCGATGCATGCTCTTTTATTATAGGCTGTCCATCACGCTGCACATACATACACATCCTAGGCCACCTTTCTCATGAGCAGTCTTCCATCTCTCTTTCTGCTGTGCGGGCTGCCACTGTTTTAAAAGCACTCTCAGGAAAAATTCCTGCGTGGTTGTTGCGATTTCAGTGAAAATTAAGGAAATAAAGAGCATTTATGGCACCGGAATGCTCCTGGGGGTATCTATGCGTGGCTTCGTTCCTACCGTACATGTTTACGGCTTTGAAATGAACAGTGAAAGCGAGCTTCGTGCTGATTTATTTGCTTCTGTGTCCATTGTTGTGCTTTTGTTTCCAAATCTGTGATTTTTTTTCATGCATTTCCACATTTTGTCCATATTTATGTGTGCCTGCATGTGTTTTGCATCATCCAGGTATGATTCAGGTGGGGAAGTGGAACCCCGTCCCACTGTCATATGTGACAGACGCACCAGACGCCACAGTGGCAGACATGCTGCAGGACGTCTACCACGTGGTCACACTTAAGATCCAGCTGCACAGGTAAGCAACCAATCCACAAGTTTGGGCACATGTGCACTGGAATATTTACAGTTGCACCAGCCCAGAATGTGTGCACATGTTCATACATATTCTTACCTGAGTGCTAACCACAAAACTGTGTTTGAAGAGAACAGTTAGTCATGATCACATTAGCATTTTCCCCCCTCTGATCTGTTGCGCTGTTTATCCATCTAGATAATTTCGATGTGAGTTTCAGCGTTTTGAAGATATATTGGTTGTAGAAATGTCTGCCTTCTCATTGGTATAATGGAAATAAATGACACATATCTTGTGGTGCAAAAATGCCAAGACAATACATAATTAAACAAAACTCAGCAGCAATATGTATTTCTGGAAATCATAACCTGGTTGCTCAAAACAGTCCACCAACCTAGCTGTGAGTAGTTTCGTGTAGGAACTATTTTCTTTTTGCTGTCTACATCCGCCACGCAAAAGATTGGTGCAGCTAGCAAACAGTACAACTCAGGCAAAGGAGATACCGTCAGTGTTTATCACACTGTTTATTACATGTGCTGGTGGTGTTTTTGTCACTAGCATAAGCCTTTTGTGTCCCTTTTAGAGAGTGACACAGTGAACGGCTGAAGTTAAAAGTGTTTGGGGGGGTTTTCTGGAAAGAGAGATGGTCAACTTTTCAAATGTGTCACAAGTCCTTCAAGTAAGCAACTTGGCAGCCATCTTGAAACACATGCGGGCACTGACTTGGGTGGTTATTTTGAAGCATTTTTGTAAATAAGCGTGATTTTCAAGACTTGTTTAAAATCAGCAGTTTCTTTCAATTACTTTTTTCTTGACTTTGTCCTAAATTAAGGCTTTTAAAAAGCTTTGTTTTTACCTTAAAAGCTCTGCTACTACTAGCTTCTTTGCTGTTGTGTGAATTGACCATGATTCAAACGGGACATCAGCTGACATCTCCCAAACTGGACAGTTCACACCAAAATCTGTTAGATAAATACCACAGCAGGCCAAATTAAAAATACATAAATTAGACCTTTTTTTAATGAACTCTCTCTTGAAAGTGTGTAATCTCAATCTCAACCTCTCAATCTCTGCTTCTAGCAATAACACATATAGCATGTGCCAGTTTACGTGTTTAATACCGAGAAAAACATTATTACTCAGACTGGCCGTTTCCAGGAAGTGGGAAAAACCCATTCATAAACCAAAAAAAACCACTGATTAATTGATCAGAACACAGATTCCGGAGAATTCAAACTCTTGGTAACAATCTAGCTTATCCATAGCTGAGAAGTGATTCTATGAAATTAACCGCTGAGTGATTTTTAACATGTTGCAGTGGAAACGTGAAATATGATAAGTAAATAACCGTTTTTAAACCAAGCTCTGCTTCAGCTCCAAAAAAAACAAATAAACGAATGTGGTCGGTGACTGCGTGGCTAAAAATGACTCACCTGAAATAGTTCCATAAATAAACCTGGCTGCAGCGGATATTTTAGGCAAAATATATTTCTTTTGAGTCTACATTGTGAATGATGAAGATGAAACCTTTACTATACTGAATACTGCTAGCTTTCTCCTGTCATTGCTCACCATATTGTATGCTAAATTATTCTCTGTAGGTGTGAGGCTTTGTCATATTTATACACACGGCAAGAGCATACAAGCATTTATAGACATGGACACAAACAGGCTCATATGCACTCATGGACACACACACACATGCGCGCGCACACAAACAGCCGACTGGCTCTGGTGTGGAGGCTTGTGCCAGCTGCACGCTAACCCAGTGTTCTGCAACCCTCTGGAGAGCTGTTTCTACTCTTTTTCTACCTCGCTCTGCCTCTTCCTTTTCTCTTCCCTCTCCTTCTGTTTCCCCCGCCACCAACACCATCACCACCCACCTCCACCAATGAAGCACTCACACACACGCACACACACACAGGCACGGCGACTGATGTGAACACGTCCACCAGCCAGACTACAGAAGGTTGTGTTTATTTCCGGCTTGCTAGCCCCTGAATGCATGGATAGCTGTCTTTCTCCGCTGCCCCCCTCTCTCTCTCTCTCTCTGCCTGTCTCTCTCTCCCACTCTCCCTCCTCTTGTTCACTTCCGTCTCCCCAGAGGCTTTCTAGCTGCTGGAGCAGTTTAAGGTGTTCTGGAAAATCCATTGTTTGTGTGTTAGAGTGTGCATGTGTATGTTTTCTTAGTAGCAGATGTGGTGTGCATCCCTTTTCTGTTCTCCTCGCTCATAACATTTCCAACACACCGGCTGACAGATTTATGGACAGGCACACACACACACAGCATCTCATGCGCCCTCATCGCTCTCTTATTCACATCTCTAGCCAGGTTTAACGTGAAGTAATTCAGCGGTAAGTGTAATGCGAAACACACACAAAGTCACGGGAGCCCAGTTGAGTTATTCTCTGCTTCCACCCACCACGTAAATATATTTTACGTTTTCAAAACCCAGAATTCAGTCGGTGTCTCTGCAGCTCGCGATTGCAGCACAGGCGAACAGCAAAGACAGTCTGTTTGATATACAGCTTCATTTTGATTACGCCGTATATACGCAATTGTCAATATTGTTATTGGTTTGTATTTGTTTTTCTCTTTTTCTTACCCACGCCGCCAAACTCTTAAAGCCCCCCCGCCCCGACTGCAGCAGAAATCTCGCCAGTAACACCTTAAATTGTTTCGCCGAGCACAACAAGCCAGGAAGGTAGAAGTAACACGAAATAATAGTCGCCACATGCAGCTGATGTATAATTCATGCATCAATCCAGCAGATGTGTTGTATAAAGTAATTAACTAATCAGAACAATCAGGAGAGAGAGAAAAAGAGAGAGAGAGAGAATATGAAAGAGGGAGAGAGATCGAGGCAGGCAGATACAGAGAGAGAGAGAGAGAGAGAGACAGAGCAATCTCCAGATGCATCTGCTTGATGCGCCAAATGAAATCTGTCTGTCTTGGAGGGGCGCTTGCAGCAGGAAAAACGAGCAGGGACCCGTGTGCGTTCAGCTCGCTTTCTCTCTGGTTTCCTCTCTGTCTTTGCTGCTCTGCCTATTTGATGCAAACCAGCCAATTTATCCACGTATGCATGTATATGTTCCTCAACCGGGGTCAGGCGAAATGCTGCAAACTGTGTTTGACACCTTTGTTTTTAGGGAAAGTGATTTGCTTCCAGAATTTTCAGCTCAGCACTTGATTAGTGGGGAAATGATCAGTCGAGTTGACTGACAGAAAATTAATCAGGAGTAATGATGATAATCGAAAAAGGTTCAAGCGTCTCGTGGCTGAGGATTTGGTGCGTTTCTCTTGTTTTTAGAAAATAGAACATAACAATTTTAACATGCGATTTCAAGACATTTTGTTATGTTTTCTGACATGTGTAGGCTAAATCGAATAGCAAAAGTATTGAAATTATGCTACAATAAAATATCCACTCGCTGCAGGTGATAATGTCCACAGCTTTTACAAATATTAGGCAGTTTTAGGAGTAGACTGAAGAAAACACCTATCTCGACTCTTAAATTTTTCTTATGCTTTTATGTTGTACACGCTGGATACTGTGCACTTATCATTTTCAGTGGGGTAGAATTGTATACTCACTAGATATGTCATTTACAACATTTCACTACAGTTGTCTGCGTTTTGTATTAGTACACAATAGTAATTTCTTCGAATGAAAATTTCACACAAAACAATGCCAACACGTTCAGTGTGTGGAAAAAAGTAGGAAAAAAGCTTCTACTCTTAGCTAGCCAGTATTAACATCACGACACCTGCTGACCCTTTCCAAAAGCTGCAGATTGTTTGGTTTTCCCTCCGTCTGGCAACCTCTAAGAGTAAGATGTGGACAGTGTTTCACACCCAGCTTTTTGACTGTTACACTTGAAATATCAAATGTAAATGTGAAAATATGTGATTTAAGATGCAGCGAGATTTTTAAGGTCTATGATGTTGGATTGAAGTTGAACAAAAATACCTCTATAGTTCAATGTGTAATACACATGTGTAATGTCTATACTCAGTTGCAAGATTGTGAATTTTAGCATTTCATTGAAGATCCCATCAAAGCTGCTGCCTTCCTGTCTCAGTCTCCGTTCCATCTGAATTTGTTTTCATGCTCTACTCTTTCCCCCCTTCTCCTTTCTATCCCTGTCTGTCCTTTCCTCACACTCATCCCTTTCTTCTTCTCCCCATCCTTATCCTCCCTGTCACCCTCCACCCCAAATCCCTGTGTGTCTCCTCTCTCTTCACAGTTGTCCTAAGCTGGAGGACCTGCCGCCCGAGCAATGGAGCCACTCTACAGTAAGAAACGCCCTCAAGGAGTTACTCAAAGACATGAATCAGAGCTCTCTGGCTAAAGAATGTCCTTTATCACAGGTGCTGAAGACCAAACTGCTTATTCCAAAAAAAAAGACAAAAAACAAAACAAAAAGCCCAACCCTACACCCTTCTATCATACCGCACAACTAAACAAACACCACTGTGTCCATCACCTCCGTGTTTTATCTTTAACTTATCAAATGCCGTGAGTTTGATCACATGGGAAAGAGAATCAGCATAGAAAATCCAAATCAATGGCTATTGTTATTTGTTTGCCTCTTGATTTTTTTTTGTTTGTTTCTTTTACCACCCACGACACACACACACACACACACAGGCTCGTATGTACCAGCAGCCAAAAAGCAGAGGTGTTGTTGAACGTATGGTTATTGTGAGATAAACACTGGCCCGGGCCCAGAACGATCTGGATGCTTTTTGTTCTTTTCTCATTTGATTCACTCTCAACATTTCAGGCTGGAGGTATGTTTAGGTTTTATATTCTGTGTCTTTCTTTTCCTCTTTTTTTTTTTTTTTTTTTTCGGCTGGGAGGTTGGATAGAAAGCACTAGTGCAGATATTGTATTAACAGGCGGTGTAGTCAGTATATCACAGAGGCAGCTCTGGAGTGAAGGGAATGAAATGGCAGTATATCTCTCACAGGGGCCAATAATGTGCGTGTGTGAGGGAGTTACAGCACAAGGAGATATGTGTGCACCTGTGTGTATTTGCTTGTATATCAATGTGCAGAGCGCATATGCGAAATTGCTATTTGCGTTTTGCATGCGTGTGTGTATTCACATCGGAGCGTGTGCGTAGGTGCCTTCAGTACGAAGCCAGCTCTCCTCCTAGGCCACCGTATGGTCACCTGGAGACCCTCATTTGCGTTGTGTGCGAACGCGTGCGAGTGATCTGCTGCTCTCGGTGTGTGTTCGTGCGTGTGTGTGTGTCTGTTTAGCCGGGCATGAGCAGTGCGCTGATGATGTAAAGAGTCCCTGGGTGGCGTTCAGGCGGAGCCCAGCCCGGTCTGGTAATCACCCTGTTTACGGTCCATATGTGAAGACGGCTCAGAAGAGAGCACACGCTAGCTCAGAGGATTTACCACACAAGCACACACACTCCTGCTCAGACACATTTTTGCTATATTGACATACACACCAGTCTCAAATTAAACTGAAGATTGTTTTTGGTTTGCAGAGAGGACGAGCTGCAGACCTGAAATTATCTGATCTTTTTTTCTTTGTGAATATCTTATGTATTTTACAAGCCAGTCTGGATTTCAGCGGCAACATTTAAATGGCAGCGTCCTTTGTAGATTTATGGCAGCTACAGTCAAAATGTAAGGCAGCGAGCTTAAAAAGAATAATCCAGTTTTTAAGTTTTCGTGTAACTTGGCAGCTTTGCCGTGTTGCTGCTTGATAATCTGATGATCTCCTCGCATGTATCTCTATCTGCCTCACTGAAACATGGCTGCCACGATGGTGTTTGACATCTGTTACTCTGTGGGGTTGCATGTGGCCAGTTACACCCATGGAGCGGCAGTTTGCTCCTCCTAAACCCGATTGGTTTACGACCGTGGTCATCCGCACGTTGCTTCGATACACGGACTCCCTGCCTTGCGAGCGGTGATGTCACCGCCTGTGTGCAGTCTCATGAGAAGGTGAGAAGCCAGGAAGCATTTGGCCCACCCGCTGAGATTTCTGAGTTGACAGAAAAAAAAAGGAGAGAGAAATGAGTGGGAGGAGAAAGGGGCGTTGCAGGAGGGAGCAGAAGATTGGCACCTTTTTAGGATTAGTGTTTCCTTGATATTCTTCTGCGTAATCCCAGACCGAAAAGAGAGGTTAACAGATGAGAGAATCGCAGCGAGTGAGTGAAAGAGAATTAGCCCACCTCTGAACAGGGCTCTGAAGAGAGACAGGGGTGGGGGGTAGAGGAGGAGGGGGAGCAGAGCAGCGAGGGGAGGGCGGTGGGGCGTTATTTTGTGAAATGCTTCTTTTGTCCGGGGCCTTGTCAAACATTTAGTTTCATTCTTTTGTAGCGGAGAGTCATGCTTTGTGTGTTCGGCCTACAAATGGCTCGAGGAAACTCAAGAGAATGCAGTGTTCACTAATGCCTGTTGTCATTCTGCTACAGGAACTGTTTCTGACCCGTGCGAAATACGAAGCACGCTTCAGGATTCACAGTTCATAGCTGGGAGAGGCATCTGCAAAATACAACTTCTCCCTCAATCAGGCTGATTTTGTTTTCTGAGGTTGCTACCAAGCTTAGCATCCCCCTTGCCCATATTCTCAGAAACTATGGCAACAAATGAGATTTCCCCCCCACGCCCCCCACCATCGCCACCACCTCACCCCACTCTTTCCCATTGCCACCACTACCTCTTCTTGCCCACCCCCTGTTCACTCTCGCTGGGCGGCCCCTGATGCACCAGCTGCTGCGTTGTGTAGCAGCAAATAGTCATCAAAATGCCATCTTTTGCAGGCCTTCACCACCTCGGCTGCCACAGGCATAACCTGGCTGCCAGTGCGTGTGTGTGTGTTAGAATGAAGGAAGGGGAGGGGTCATCCCAGTTGAGGTGGATATGTGCCATAATTGAGCTCTGTTAGATGTTGGCGAGAGACGAGGCGCAGTGTTGCAAATGGGATGCGCTTTTTTCCCCAGCTGATTCAAGACATCAGGCTAAGTTGGAATGCGTGTTGGTGTTTAATTGTGTATGTGCTTGTGTGAGTTTGTGTAACAGCACCATGTGTGTTTGTCTGCAGGGGTTGTACTCTGTATGTGTGTGTGTGTGTGTGTGTTTGCCAGTGTGTATATACCACACTCTAACACTAGCAGCTGGGTGCCTACAGTACCTGCCTGCTGCACTGCTATTTTCTTACACACACACACACACACACACACACACACACACACACACACACACACACACTCTTTCCTCGCTCTTCCTGTCTCCCATGTTGGGGAGTGGAATAGATGTTGGGGACCGATAGTAGCCCAGTGCCACTTCCTGGTCTTGCTGATAAGCTCTCTGTGCTGCAGATGGCTATCACTTAAAGGGTCCACACACATGCTCATGCACAGAGACACACCCGCAAACTCTCACACACACACAAACGCAGTCATGCTACCTGTTGACAAGCCCTAGCACAGCCCTCCCGCTGGCACCGCAGTGGCAGCAGAGGCTCTGGTTATCTGCTTGATTTCACTTAGTGTGTATGCATGTGTGTGTGACAGAGCGGTGGGGAGAGGGAGAGAATAGGTGTGTGTGTGTTGTTTCGTTCTCACATACACACAGGGCCCCCTGTGAGAGGTAGAGTGATGTATTGAGGGAGAGGGCTGATTAATGAGGAGCGTTTATTAGAACATCTGTGTCAAAGATGGCGGAGAAAGAGGGAGCGAGAGAGATAGGGGAGAAAGACGGGAAGTGAGGGAGAAAAAAGCACACCGTCTTTTGCAGGCCTCCTGTTTGTTGCCTGGAGCCGCCTAAGCCCAGATATACTGTAAATAAAAGATGCCAGGCTGGAGGAGAGGAGTTCATTATCCCCCTGACTTAAAGGCGAATTCTTCTTACGTTTTAAATATGTGGTTTGCAGATGGATCTTTGGGTGGGGACGTGGAGTTGGAGAGAGACTGTCAATGTAGGACCAGAGAATTTTGAACTTGCAGCTACTATTTCCTAATACCAGTATTGTATAAAAATGAGTCAGTTCATGCATAAAAGTGTGACCCATTAAACCGAACCTGAACTCCATCAGCGCTTCCGTTGAATGAAGGCTTTTCAATATATTGATAAAAGACTGCTTTGTTGTAGCGTACAAGTCCAAATGCAGACCTTTTCACCCTCCTGTTTTTCATCATGCCGGGATGATGCACCGCAGCATGGTTGGCACAAGTTCTCACCCAGCTGCACGAATGTGACTCGCCTCAGCTGCCTGAATTTGCCTTTAAAGAAAAAGAAAGAAAGAAATATTAATAATAATAAGCAGCTGAATGTTGAACTTGACTCCACCTGGTACAAGCAGGTATAGTAGTAATTGTGTGTGTGATAGTTGGTGTCTTTTGTCATTTCCATGACACAAAATTCGATGTCTTCCTAAACATGTAATTGCTTCTTTTTCAACCTCGGCTGGGTTTTAATATTACTGAACCAAGACTTGGCTAGCACAGAGCTCTAGCTTTTATAACGTCTCCTGTGTGGTATTCTCTGTCTCAAACAGAGGAATGGAAAATATTCCTCATGTAAATCTTTTAGGAGGAAGCTGGTTAAAATTGTGCCTTACCTGCTGCTTTTTTTTTTTTAACAAAAGGAACCTGTGTCTGTCTTGTTTCTTTTGGGTGGCTCGTTCCTACCATGTCTAAAGTTTTCGGTGCGTCACACTTAGCTGCAGCGCTGCTGTATAAGGTGCGGCGTACGGCTTTAATCCGGAGGTCAGGAGTTCAGAGTTTGATCGACCTTTTTGATGGCACAGCTGTCACCCTTTAACCTCCTTTTGTGGTGAAAAGCTGGAGCCAGAGAACCAGAATCATCCTGTGGCTGTTCATTTCTGTTCACACTGCCATGCTACTCTGCCAGAAGGTTCCCCCCACCATCCTCCAAGCGCATATATTATAGAAAATGATAAAGATGGCATACCTATAATTTGAAAACAGATGGTTTGGTTCTTTTGAATATTTATAACAATCAAAAACAATTTCTCCTGTGCCAACCTCGCTATTCACCCGGAGGCCGGCAAGGTGTTAAAACATTCATTTTAATGAAACTGGATGGGAAAGAGGAAAAAAAACAGCTCTTTGTTTTTCCCAGGCGAAGGAGAGCGGTTGAAGTAAATGTTGAGAGGGCAAAGAGGCGACTGTATAGGGGGGAGATGGGAGCACGTACGCATCGGAGAACGACATGCTCGGTGCGGCCCCCAATCTGCTCGAAGTCGTTGTCTTTAACAGATTGTATAAATAAAGAGCCGCAAAATAAAAGAGGTTTATCTGTTTACATCGCCGAGCTCCCCAGGTGCTGATATTCAATAAGCAGCTATCTTCTTTTCCTTTCAAAGGTAAATATCTTTCCCACTGCATGCTCATGGAGTGAGCAGATGTAGAGCTCAGGTGACCTTATAAGTGACCCAAAAAGTTCAGACAAACTCATCGGCATTTGATAAAAAAAATAAAAGTAATTGATTAATTAATAAGAGATAAATCCCCTTCTTTGGTTTAATTTGTTTTACCTGTAGAAGAAAACAATCTCAAATTTCTGCATGTCTGATACTTTTCAGTTAGCTTTTTTCCCCTGGTACTGGGTTTTACTCGATCCCTATATTTTATTTGTTTTGACAAGCTACAGTGTTACTGCATGTTTCACAAGCTTTACTATTATGTCTGCATTTTCCACAATGAGAATCTAAAGTCTCTCTCTCGTTTTCTCTCCCTCTCCCTCAATCAATCTCTCTCTTTCAGAGTATGATTTCCTCCATTGTGAACAGCACTTACTATGCAAATGTGTCGGCGGCGAAGTGTCAGGAATTTGGGCGCTGGTATAAACATTTCAAGAAGACAAAAGATATGATGGGTAAGCAAAACGGAGGGGCGCAAAGTATGGCGCTCACACTTTTGTCTCTTTGCACACACATTCTCTCTCTCACACACACACACACACACACACCAGTCACCATTGCAATATGTTCCCTAACCAACCGTCTCTTTGTCTTCCTGCTGTTGCATGAAGCAGAAATACATTTTTATTTTGTTGTCTAATAATTTAAGCTCACTGCAGGCAGTGTTACAGTTACACACAGTGTTAACTTTGCTTCATCCATTATTGCTTTAACTAACACTAATGCAAGAGCCAAAGTGACCCAAGATGTTTTGTTTTTTGTTTGTGTGTGTGTGAGTGAACAAAAGGCAAGTATGACTTCAGCCGGCCTAGTCTAAAATTCAATTAGATTTTCTTATCAAACTTCTACCAACACGTGCTTTATATAATCGCAGAAAAATCCCCTTTGACCTGCCAGGAAATGAGGTTATATAATAGCAGTAGCACCCAAGCTGCAGATAGCACGCCGATATATTTTTATGTCTTTTGATTCAGCAGAACAGCGCTCTGTTGTGAGCTGGTTTAATGCTGAGATATTAGCTTTACCAATCTGTTGAACATTATCTTTTTTCTTTACCAGTGTGCTGCTGCTGCTGCTCGCAGTGATGATAGACACAGATATTATATCAAAATGTTTTCACAGCCTTCCATGCAAATAGTGTGTTGTGATCATATCTTATCTGATGTTTTTTTTCCCCCCTCCATCAGTTAAAGTAGCAACATACACTGGGAACTTTATTTACTCGAGACCTGCTGTACTTTAGTACTCTCTTGCATACACCTACACATTTTCTATCACACTTGTTTTCTATTAGGTTTTATGTTCCTTAAAAGTGGAAGCGCTGCAGCTGCCAGTCCGGCCTCAGTTTTAAATGCTGATGTTTTAAATGTCATATTTCTGCTTAGCTGGAGTGGGAGAGACAAATTGTAGAAAGCCTTAACCCTGTCTTTCTTTCCTCACAACTCTGCAATGTGTGTGTGTGTGTGTGTGTGTGTGTGTGTGTGTGTGTGTGTGTGTGTGTGCCTCGCTATTTGACTATTCAGGCATGCGTCAACCCTCCCAGCTGGAGGGGTACCTGGGGACGTGTGTCCTCCGTGAGAGCCCACGTGCCAATGCACTAGGTATGTTGCAACATGGGCACACACACAAATACTCACACACACACACTGTAGAGGACTTTGCTTTGGCATTAATTAATTGTGCGGAAACTCAGTATAGCATTACTTACGGTGATGTCAAACCTGATCCTTACAGCCTTTCTCCTTGTTTGTACCTGTTTCTTGTAATGAGATTATACAGATTAATACACAAAGATAAACACACAGTCACTTTTTGAGAAACTTTCCTTTATACTCAGACTGTGACCTTAATTGCCGTTAACAACCAGACTTTCCAAAAACTGAATCACAATTATAATCTTGATCCAAAAACCAACAACAGTCATTTTAAAGTCACAATTAAAACAAAAAAAAATCGCTCTGTTAACTTTAACCCAGGATGTACTCGTACACACTCAGATAAACTCACACGCGCGCACGCCATGTTAGCCAAACCTCAGAAGCAAAAACTTTGGCACATGAGCCTCAGGTGCCCACCACATGCCCGTGGCAAAACCTCCTGCCCCAGTCCAACCTCAGTATTTATGATGGGCTGTTGTATGTGGCCACAAATGGCAGCAAGAGAAAAAACACTGGTGAACTGCCAAGCATGAAGGCTGCGAGAGAGAGAGGGGCGGGGGGCACAGCAACCCTTTGTGTTTTGAAAGCAGTGTCTTATGTGACTCTAAATTCACTTCAGCACATCATGTTCAGTGAGTAGCTTTAGCCTGAAGTCAAGGGGAACAAGTACCTGGTCACAGGTACTCTCTGTCAGCTGAAGTGGGTGCCAGCGAGTGAGCGCAGGGAAGGAGCAGGAGTTGGGTCAGTGTCTCTCTCTCTTTCTCGTTCCCTCATTCTCTCGCTCTCTCTCTCACTCCCAGTCACAAACACACACTCCCTCCCTCCCTCAGCCCACATCCCATTCCCATTGTGTGTTTAATCCGGGGCTCTTTTGTGGCAGGATTCCACACGAGGACTCCCGCTTCTGTGGCAGCCTTTTTCTCCCAGGGCCTGCCATGCTCTTCTGTCACCCCTTCTCTTTTCAATTTGCATGGAAATGCCTCCATGTGCCTGTGTGTTTGTGTGTTGCGAGTATGCCCCCCAGCAGTCTGTGTGAGCGAGCATATGCGCACTACGCACATACACACATTCACATATGAGTGAAAAGGCACACCATACCATCAGAGCCAGGGAATGCCAGGGATTATGGAAAGAGATGTGATTATTACCAAGATTTTTATTTTTTGTTGCCCCCCCCCCCCCTCCACATCATTTGTTTTCGACAAACACTCAATAGACCCGTCTTGGCCGGGTGTTTTGTGCTTGCTGACAGTTAAGAAACAGGCAGCTCAAACACACGATTATTGTGGGTATTTTTGGAAAACATCCATGGACTTAATCTTTCATCTGCTGAAAAATTCAGCTTGTTGAAGACCCCCCCCCCAAAACCACCCCTTCCCTTAACAGCAATTTATGCTTTTCACATTCTCATACGATGCTTTTCTGTGGGATGTGGAGGCCGCAGCACACTTCTGAGGTGTTAATGTTGCCATCCGTATGAATTCTTAAATACTGCCCCCTCACTCACTCGGCATAGTACATGCAAAGAGCCTCAGCATATGTGAATTCCTTAAAGAGAGGCGGTAACCTGAAAACATTCAGCTGCTCCAAATGCTCATTCACTTCGTTGTGGGTAGCACTTTAAATGTTAAATCATTGTTTTCATCCTCTAAGCACATAATTTAAACCTGTCTTAAAATATTCCCCAGCAGCCATTATGGACTTAAAGATTCCCAAAGCAAGAGATGCTGCAAAAATCTCCAAAATGCCATTAAATGACGGCACATAGAATTTTTTTTTCTCACAGACAGTTCGAGTCAAAACCGTTTCAGTATTTCAAACAGGGCAGTTCCTCAGGTTACTCGTTCTGTCCTCCAATGTACCCCTCCTTTCTCTCTTCGCTGTTCCAAACATTTTATATTTAAACCATCCTCCCCTAAATATGTCATATTGGCTAGCTTGTGTTCCTTATTTTAGAATTAAGGATGCAAAGAGAGAATCAGATTTAGCTGTATTGCTTCTGCCTCTGTGCATGCACATACACACAAACACGCACATATCATTTCTGTACCTACACACACACACAAGAATTTTTTTTTTCACATGATGAGGCCACAGACATTCTGTACTTAATTTCGAAGGCATGGTTAGTGGAAGACACAGGTCAAACACAATGAGGCTCTTTTATCTGCGTTTCCATCTTTTTCGTTTTTCTCTTTTTTTTACCCGGTCATTGGCAGGGAGGAAGAGGCCAGTGGAGAGTTCTGGTTAGGGGGAAGATTCTAACCTCCCGTTGCTTTTCGTTGGTTTCTTAGATATGTGCGAGCTTCACAAATGAATTCCCTTCTCATATAATGTAAACAGGAATGTAAGCTGACAGGCTTAGATTGACTCGAGGCAAACATTTGATCTGATGCAGGCCGGGTCTGTTTCATTTCTTCTGATTAGAGAGTATGACTATGGTGCCATTAAACTGATGTTCATGATTGTTAGATGGCTATCTGCTAGTTTTTCTTTTTACGTCATTCTCCGCGCCTGTTTTTTCCTCCTCTGTTTTCTTTGTGCAATTTAAGCCAATCATTTGTTCGTGTCTATTTTTCTTTGTCTTTCTCCAGCGGAAATGGACGGCTTGTCCGACCTCTCCCCACCTGGCTCTAACCACAACCACAACCACCTGAGTTTTTCCCAGCAGCAGCAGCCGATCCCCAGCAGCACAGCGGAGCAGACTCCTTCGTCGCCGGTGCCGCCGCTGCCTCATGCTCCGCCGCCGCACGGTGGTCAAACGGGAGGCCGACAGCCCCAGCTCCCCGGTCTGCATCACCCGGGCTTGGTGTCCACACCCATCAGTCCCCAGCTGGTCAACCAGCAGCTTGTGATGGCACAGATCCTCAACCAGCAGTATGCAGTGAACCGGCTGCTGGCGCAGCAATCCCTGTCACAGCAGTACCTCAACCACCCACCTGTCAACCGCAGCTCCCACACCAAGCCTCTGGAGCCACAGGTGGCATCGAACACAGAGGTTTCCTCTGAGATTTACCAGTGGGTGAGGGACGAGCTAAAACGGGCCGGCATCTCACAGGCTGTCTTTGCCCGTGTGGCCTTCAACAGAACACAGGTGAGGAGATCGAATTGTAACAGAACTGACCTCAATCAGTGGGTTATATTTAAACTGGAAGAAAATTATAAAAAACATACTGCATCTGCCTACATCATACAGTCTTCATTCATTTTTTATCAATACTGTGTATATTCAGATGTTAATAAAGTATTTAAAATATGGAAAAGGTACCTTTACATCCCCTTAAAGTTCTTTAGTTGTAAAATCAAGTGGCACCGGTGAAATTCAGCCAAATACTCCCAACCAAAATCAAACCAAAAACATCAGCTTTTATCTCCCGTAGTAACACATCAAGTGTATATCTTACAACAACATCCTGTTTGAAAAGGAAGCGTATCACATTATCATTTCTACAATTTCACGAGATCTCTCTCGCTATGAAATGTTAGGAAAGGCTTCTGTATGAATCCACTGCTTATTCATAATTCTCACACACTCCAGTAGTCTAGCACCTCTGCTTCACTTGAAGACAGATGGCAGGCTGCCATGTGAAAGACCCAGGTTCGGTCATGGCATCCGTTCTCTCTCTGCCAAAAATATGTGGTTTCACTGCAGAGTCAGAGGCCTAACAGACATATCAACAGACACACAGATGGCAGCGTTAAAGCCTTAAGACGTACTATCTGTGTTGGTGGGTTGACAACAAATCTCATTACCTCTCCATTTTCTTTGAAGTTCTATATGTGAAAAAGAAAAGGGGGGAAAAAGAGCGATAAGGATCTATTGGAGTTAGAACGTACAGCAACAAAAATTATGTGAGTGTTTGTGTTACTTACTCAGACAGTGGTGGTTTTGTGCAGCATGGCAGGCTCCCACACAAATAGAGCCTTATCGGTGGCTGATGTTAGGAATTAGTCCAACGTGCCTTCGGAGGATTATTTATTAGGTTTGTGTTTCTTCACAAAGTCTGCATTAATAAAAGGACAGGGGAGGGAGGTGTTGGTTAGCAGGGTGAAGAGGCCTCTGTCAGTGCAGGAGGTGGATCAAAGGAGCAGAGGTTGCTTTTTTTTTAATGGGGTGGAAACTACTCAACCCAAAGAGACAGATAGAAATGGTTGATGGTGAAAACTGATAAGCATGTTCACACTGAAGAATGCAAACAGACACACACAGAGTTCAAGCATAAAAAGGATATACTGCTAATCTGTCCTCTGACAATGTGTATCCATCAAGTACACAGTCACACCAATAAAAATGTGTGGTTTGTTCACACATGTCTGCATACCACAGACCTGCATATTTTAAACATGACATATATGGCTGCATATATTTTAATAGTCACCGAAGAAACACCGCCAATCGCATATTGCAGTTCTGATCATTAGCCCGAGAGGACTCGAATGCTTTAAAAATAAATAAATAAAGGCACAAATCTGTTTTTACCATCACTTTGTTTTATTACCAAATCACACGTATTGATGGTGAGAGAAGCGGAGCGATGGTTTGCACAGTGTGTGGCCAAGAGCTGATGAAAAGGCCCAATCACACGTCTCTGATAATGGAGTCATCGCCGTCTCATAATGATGGAATTGAGCGCTATTGAAAAGTAAACAGAGGATACACTGATTGCCCGCTGAACAAGACAAGATGTTTCAGGCGAGTAGCTCCGCTCTTATCCAAAGCAGTACACGACTCAAAGAATATGTCCAAGATGTGCTAAATACCACCCATGTGCGATGGGTTCAGAGGCCACACACAAGTTTCAGTAAAGTGGGTTTTTTTCCCGTCATCTCCTCAAATGATCATGGATGAAGTGCTTTAGACTGACAGAACAGTATTGTTGTACTTCCAGACAAAAGCCCTGCAGAGAGTCATGAGGATATGATGGGATGATTTTATAACATTAATAATGGACTGCTCTCTGTAGACAAAGCTCCTGCAAGTCTGTGAGAGGTGGAGACTCTCATATAATCAGTTGACTCAGAAAAGAAAGCGTGTGTGAGAGCATCACAGCTCCATTGTCATTAGAGTCTCCATTTACACTTTACTGTCTTACTTAAGAACCCTCTAATGTGATTATTCTCCTTATTGGTTACCACCATGACCCCTGCTTCACATCTATTTCCCGCTCTGGGAGCCTCTTACTCTCTCTTCCTCTTTCACTTTTCTTTGATGCTGCTCTCCGTCCACTGCTCTTTTGGCACCTTCTCGTTTCTTTTTCTTTTTTTCTTTTTTTAAATATATATACTAAATGTGGTTTCATCATGTAGGGCTTACTGTCTGAGATCCTGCGTAAGGAGGAAGATCCCAAGACGGCGTCCCAGTCGCTACTGGTCAACCTGCGCGCCATGCAGAACTTCCTGCAGCTGCCGGAGGCCGAACGTGACCGCATCTATCAGGAGGAGCGGGAGCGCAGCCTCACGGCCGCCTCTGCAATGGGCTCCGCTCCGCTCATCAGCACCCCATCCAGCCGACCTGTACAGGTAAATTATTGTTTCTGTGGATGCTCTTCTGTGGTTATACAGCATGTTGTAATAACCTAAAAAAAACTTGCTTAAGTAGAACAGGCCCCTGCTGCTTATAGTGGATGCTGGGGTGGTGGATGGGTTCAACCAGCAGACACACATGCAAAGTTATGGAGCTTAAATACGCCACCAAATTAGGACGGTGAACTTGACATATGATGTGAGATGAGGCTGTGCTCCACTGGTAGCAGAAGTGTGATGGATAAAACACAAAGCATCAGCAGTTGTAGTAAATACTTTGTCAACTTTGGGACCCAAAAATCATGTAGTATTGCCAACCGAACCCAGATGTTTATTGCCATTACCCTGCTTATTAAACTCCACAACTATTCTGTTGTGTGGCCAACTCAAAGAAAACCCTTTCTGCTCCGAGTCAGAGTAATCTGAAATGAAGTGACAGTTCTTTAAAGTCCTGTGGCTGACAAAAAGCAAAGAAAATCTACTTTCTACACGGTTATAGTTTTCAGTGTGCACACAACACTCAGGGCTGATAAATCTACATTTCTACCCCATAAAACGACATATCTGAAGGGATCTGTTCCTTTGAACTGTTGAGCCAGCTCTGCCGAGATGTTGTTGGTATTTCATGAATGTGTTTACACGCAGTGAGCAACGGGTAAAGGTATGCATGCGTGAGAGCAGGTTGGATTGAGCTGAGAATGTCTGTCCGTCCGTCTTTGTGTTGGGATCACAGACAGACAGACAGACGTGTGAATCAAACCTCGTGACGCGGGCGCTTTTTTAGAGGTGCTGCAAACCACACAAGGTCAAACAAAAGGCTATTTCCTTTTTCTTTCTTCTTCAGAAGATTCAGTCAGTTGGTATAAAACATTTGCGCGATGTTAAATATTTATACTGTACAAACACAGGCACCTCATGCACTCATTAGCACACTCTGTTTTCTGGGACAACAACAAGCGTGTGTACAAGAACAACCCCAACACATTGTTTCGTTGCATACTTCACATTCCCCTCTATTGTATCAGCCTCTCCAGAAACACATGGAACAAATAAAAGTCTGTCAGTGGTAAAGAGAACATACTTTACATTCTTCCTGCATGTAAATGAGTTGTGCATCATCCCCGCCCTCACCACACAGGTGAGAATGGTGCACAAATGATGGATAATTTTTTGTGCTAATTTTGACCTTTTACCATGCATTAGGCAGCATTAACAGCCCTCCCATTTCAAAAAAATAAAGCTCACTCGGTGATGACAAGCTCTGTGAAAGATCAAACATCGTTTAGTCAGTGCGTCTTTCAAAATCGCTTCGTACCACAGCACAACTTTGTACCCTCGCCGCAAATCAGTGTCCCTCATTTGAAAGGTATGTGGCAACTTTCTACCACTTAAGCCCATTTGAAGTGCGGTCAGCTGCATTTGGGAGGTGAGAGGGCCAGACAAAGGCTTCTTCTGTCCTGTCTCCGGTGAAAATTTGGCTTTTATTTAGGTGCGGAGGAGAGTGAGATAGAAGCCCCAGCCCACCCATCTTAAAAATCAATCTTCCCTCTGAAAAGGCTCAGCGTGGTGGCAGTGGCCGGCTGAAAAGAAAGAGTCGTACTGTGAAGCAGCGGTGCTGAACTTAAAGCAGGAGCATTTTGCAGTTCACGGCTCATCTTTACAATCTCAGGCTGTGCTGGCACAGGACGGGAACTCAAAGCAGCAGAGTGAACTATCGCACAGGAATTTATTGATGTAAAAAAAGGAAAATAAAAGAAGGTTTTGGCAAAATAATCTGCTTCTAGTGTTCCTGTTAGTGTCCTTAAAGCCAAGGCAGGAACGTGGAACTATGAAGTGCCTGTTAAGTTCATATCAGGCTTATCTTAGCATATCTGCAGTGAGCTCACAGAGCTGCAGAGGCACATAACGAAACAAAATAAAACAGAAATAAATCTCCAAGGCGGAGAATAAAGGCAGTGGCTACAGCATGGTGTAGAAAATTCAAATCCTGCTTTCTGATTTTTATTTTCACATCACTCAAAATACTGTTGGCACATCAGTACAATATCTCAAGGCCTAATATGCTTCACCTGTATGACTTAAACCAATTGACATTTATCATATAGACCTGTTTTCTGTCCTTCCTCTCACGCGCACACACAGATTTGCACACTCATACACCTGGCCATCTGCCAGCCTCTCCTATGAAGCAATGCGGTGTGAATTTAAGCACATAAATCAGACAGGGTGGCAATTGAGCCTGAGACAGAGGAGGGTTTTTATTGGCCTCATAAAAACAGATGCAGAGGTATGTTTCTCTCACATGTACCGATGGCTCGGCTCGACTCTCCCAAAGCCAGTTAGTGCATGTCTCTGCCTTAACAATTTGCTTGACACGGTACCCTCCTGCTCCCGCTGACAAGCCCGTGTCGAGCTGTCATAAAACAGGATAAAAGGCCCAGAAATTCTCAGACATTCCACTTTCACCACAAATTTCAGAGATTGTTTTTTAACACATAAAGGAGCTCGTATTAGGTGTCTAGACAAATACTTGAATATATATGTTTTTTGATCACCAGTTCCATCGTGAGATGGTAGCTGTTGGTGTTATTATGGTTTATTTGAATGCCATTTACTTGTACCCACACCCAACCCTGTCGATGGTTCCTTTCAAAAAGACTCGTATGGAATGATTCATATGCTAATGGTTCTTGGGTAATGCTTTTATTAGGATACTTGTTACCTTGTCAAAGGATTTTCGTCAAGATGCAACAAGCCGCTGAATGAAGATGATTTGATTTCACTTGACTTACATTTATTTTTTAATCACCGGCTTGACATAAGAATAATAACGTTTCACACAACACATCTAAGTGTTTTTGAGCAAAGTAAGGCTGGCGCTGTGTGTGGGTGAAATCTACACTCGAGCGCGCGGGTGTGTGTGTAAGAGTTGGCTGCATGCATGATCATGTGTTCAGACAGATTCCCTTTATTATTTTTTTTTCTTATGTGAGCCTGAACAAATATGGTTGTGTTGTGTTCTAGCCCCGAAGGGAAGACTGTAACAGCGTAAGGCCGGAGGATTGGAATCCCCGAATCCCTGTGGGCATTTCACCTGTGAGCAAACAACTTCACCCCTTCACTTCCCCAACCCCAGCACTGCCAACTGAGCAGATACATTCTCATTGAAAATACAAGTCACTCTCATTGACAACAATATCCCTATGTCAGTGCAATTTTAGTGTTTTCTATGTTTATGAAGCTGGAAAGTTATTTTTCAAGCGCGAGGCAAATATTAATTTCTCTGTCTATCAGCGCAAAGTGTTATCAGAAAGTCTGGAACAATAAAGTTAAATTACATTACATTACTCTGTTGCAGTATTTAGTAAACCAACTGTCACACAACACTAATAAAAAAAAATCTTCAGACAGAGTAGAGAGTCCAGGTCCACACATGCAATCTAAACCTGCCAAATACAAATAGAATCTTATATCTAACAACATATTAGAGTTTAATAAAACCGGGAAAGCCTTTAAATCAAATGTTTGTTCTTTTTATTACCAGGTTAAACCATCACCGCTGCCCAGCGAGTGGAACGGCAAGGCAGACAGCTGCATCCTCAACATCAACTCCACCATCTACGATGAGATCCAGCAGGAGATGAAGAGGGCCAAAGTGTCCCAGGCCTTGTTTGCAAAGGTGGCGGCCTCCAAGAGCCAGGTAGTGAAATACACACTAAAGAACTGTCGCAAATTGTCCTCTGTGTTTAGGTAGCATAATTTGTTAATTGGATCGTGCTTTCTAAAGTAGAGCTGTACTGATATGCCATAAATCCAAGCCTGAAAGTCCAGACGGGCATACGTAATTGTCCAATGTCCACACACGTGCAGACACAGCCTTTGTGTTTAAAGCCAGAAATTGAGGACCTTTTGTCTCTGATTGGTGAACTCTGGTGAATTTCCTTCAATGCGTGTGTGCAGGAAAACTGTACATCTCCATCAAAGGTTGGAGACGGCGCATAAGGAAACTTAGCTCAGTGTATCAGTGGAGCGATTTATCGTCATAATGACACATGTCTTCTTTATTGTGGGTTTGGAGTTTAGCAGTCGACACTGTTTCAACACCAAACAAACCTGTTTATATTAGCTCCACTCAGTTAGATGATGATGGGAGCCCCTGTCATCTTCTCACAAAGAGCGCAGAGCTCACACAACACAAGCTTGTGTGTGTTGGAAACAGAGGGTGAAAACATAGCGCCAGTTTAACTCTTTATTAAAAGCAATTAAAAATGTAGCACTGAGGACTTATTATTAAAGGTTTTCGTGTGTCTGTCGCAGGCAGAGTTGGGAAGATTTCCACAATTGTGCTTGATGAAGAAGATGGTGGGGGGGAGAAATAGATCACCAAGGGCGGAATAATCTTGAAATATCTGCAAAGGCTTTATTTTTTTCTTGCTGATTAGGATGATTATAGCCCCAGATAGCTTTGTTTTACCAAATTGCAGTTTGATGCACAAACCACTGTTTTTGTTAAGGAGTTCAAAGACTCCTTGGAAGGATAGAGAAAAGGGGGAGAGTGAGGCGGTCGCAGTATTAACTCGCTCATGTCTCTCTCTTCTCAAATGACGGTTTGTCTGGGAACAGGTTTCCATCATGCTGTCTCCACCTCCCTCCCATTTCTCTGTCTTGCCCCTCTACCTCTCTCGTTCCCCCGATTTCTGCCTCTCTTTCACGTTCCATTCATGGCAGGCGGGTGTGAATGTGAATTGAGCAGCAGATAAGAAGTGTGCTAATTATGCCTCTGAAAAGGGGCCTGGGAGAGCACTTATCTCTGGCTCTATCTCGTAATGGGCGCTCCCCGGGCAGCTGGTCCTCCCCCCTTACTACCCAGCCGGCATTGCCACATCTACCAGCACCGCCAGGCCAGCGGCTGCTCCTCCCCAGCAGCACCCACGTACTCTGAAAATCAGATGCTGGGACTCAGCTTTCCGCTGCAGTTTCCTCAAAAATATTCAAAAAAGAAATTGCCAATATATATTTTTTTAATTTAAAGCAGGACAGTGGGTTCATTGTGCTAGTTTCATGCTCTGGGCAGACAGTTCAAGCATTTTTATCTTACTATCCTCAATGCCAGCATCGCAGTCTGGATAAAAAAGGGTTTCCTTTCCCTCAATGCTGTGTATAGTATCACTGTCATACACAAAAGTAAATAAATATGGCACTTTGTGTAGGCAACCGCAGGGCTGCAATGATATGTTAAATGATAGATTAGCTAGTTTGCTCGTCAAGCAATGAGTCAATCATTTTTGTCAGGTCTCGTTGTAAAGACTTGCGGAAAGAGTTAATCACCACAACTGAAATTTACAGACGTCCCTAAACACCTCGCAAACAGGCAAACGGCTATGAAAGGTGATACACAGATATAGCGTTACTGTATTGAATAGAAGATGCCTATAAGGATACAATTACTTAACACAAACCATATGGAGCAAGTCTGAGCAGCAGAGCTAATGCTCACTGAGCCAGTTGGTAACTAATCAAATGTAATCTCGCCCTGTATTAATCACTTCCTCTGACATGCAGATAAGGAACAACGTTGTATTTAGTGAGAACCTTTATTACCATCTTTGTACTCAATTTTACTGCAGTTTTTCGTACAGATTGAAAGTATCCTTGTGGCTGGGAGTGATGAAGCTGCAGTTTACCAATATTCTCTAAATGCCTCACAGACAGGCGATCGGTAGATGTGAAAGTGTAATAGAAGGCAGCTCTTAGTCAAAATACAAAGACTTGACACTGCACTAAATCAGGTCTCTAGCAATACACCCGAAGCAGGTGAACAATTGTCAAGAAATGAGAACAAACCATCCCGCTACACACACACACACACACACACACACACACACACACAAGCCCGTTCAGCTATCTTAGTGAGGACCTTCATTGACATAATGGTTTCCCTAGCCCCTTACCCTGACCATTAAAAATGAATGCCTAACCCTAAACCTAACCATAACCTAATTGTAATCCTGACACTAAAAATACATTTTGAGCCTCAAACTTGTGAGGACCGGTGTGTGTGTTCTCACAAGTGACTGTTGGTTCTCACAAGTATAGTAGAATGCAGATTTCGGTCCTCACAAAGATAGCTAGACAGGAACACACACACAGATTCCTAAATAGATAAGAACCAAGCAGACGTCCTGTTCTCTTCCTCAGTGCGTCACCTTGGTTCCTGGGAAATTATGACGGCCATTTTTTTCAAAAGATTGTTGCCGATTTAACAAAACCAAGTGATTAGTCAATATAATAGTTATTGATTAATGATGAAAATATTAGTAGATTTTGAACTATTAAACATGAAATATCATATCCAGTAAAAGTGTGCTGCCTTTATGCTAACTGATAAAAGATGGCACTAGTTTTATTTTAACCAGAAAAAATCATTTTAAAATGTGGTGGTTTGTTGTAGAACACATACCCACAATATGCTCGTTAGTGATTAGCAGTGATTTGTTGTCTCTTTAGTCATATTACATATTATTGGCTGCAGTGGTTACTCATTTTTAAAAGAGGTGTTGCTTTAAAAACATTTTTTAGGTTTTTAAAATGCTAGTAAAATGCTTGTCTAAATCAGTGAGAGGAACAGCTGAATGTATCCATTTATAATGTTCAAAATCATCACTTAAGCTTAGGTCAAGAGAGGTTTGCAGCCTTGCAGGGGGAAAAAAATAACCATCCGAGCCGTGGGTAGAGCACCATGCCAGCAGAGACTGCTGGTACTGTGGTTGGTGATGAGGATGGAGGATGGGCTAGACTGGCAGGATGCCCATATGGGGTCCAGGGAAATAATCATGGGGGGAGGGGAAGGAAGAGGCCTCATCACTGAAACTGGCACTGTCCTGTCTGCTTGGTTTGCATTTCAAACTCTGCCTGTTCAGCTCAGCTTAGGGTTTCCCAGTATGTTTACATAAGCACGGGACCAGGTGACTTGGACACATGCGGGTAGGTGCACACCACTTGGTGTATTTAGAGTATCTGAGACAGCCAAGAAGATGAGAACAGATCTGACAATCTTTAAGGAGAGAAAGATGGGAGATGGTGACCTGACGGAGGCCACGGGCAGCAATACTTTGAGTAGAAAAGTTAACCCGAGCCTGCTCATTGGTTCACGCTCCACTGAGCGTGCGGTTAGGTGTGGAGCATGTACTGTGTGTTTTTCTGAGGAGGCACATTGAATGCGTGGACCAGTGCATGTATACTCCAGTGTGCATATTTATGTCGGCTGGTGTTTGGGGAGTTTTTGGAACGCAGCCATTCTGTCCTCTCCTAGGGCTCGTAACCACTGAAGGCCTCTGCCAGTCCTCACCCTCCACATGCACATATTCAACGTTGCGTTTCAATCACTCTTTTACTGCCACATATTCAGAGTAGTAACTATAGAGCAGTGACTCTAACCCGAGCCATAATACTTTATCAGATTAATGTTTGCTATTTACTTGAAGTCAGACCATTCATTTTTTTAAGCAATCCACAAAGCCATTCTGATTTATTAGGATACATATTGTGTTTACTCTTTGATAAAATCGAAATCATTATTCATGATCCGTTCCTCAATGATTCAGACTGATCGAACGCTCCAAGAATGCTCCATCTCCATTTAGCTTCAGGAGATGTCAGACTTGGAGAAAACAACTGCGCGCTGCTGGTTCAAATCCAGCGTTGACACTGCCAGAAGTTGTGCTATTTGCCAAACGGCCCATTTCATTTTAGCCTGCAGAGGTGCAAGCTATGATCTGGATAGCTTGGAGTTGATGTCAACATTATTAACTGGCTCAGTAGGGCTAGTGCACTATCTAGCAAGCTGCAGTGCTTTGTTTTCATTCATGTTAACAGGGGAGGCTTGCTGTGTTGGCTAGCCTGACGGAGAGGGCAGCTAATATTCAGCTGAGCGATGGGAGGTCGGCTGAGGGTGGGGTGGAGCGGATCGGGGGCATTCCTTTGACACGACTTTTATGTCTAAACATTCCCAACACTTCCTGAGAGGAACTGTGCGGTGGATGGAATCAGAGTCCCTGCTGTCATAAAACAAGCACCCTGGGAGCCCTGCGCACTGCGGGGCTCAAAGCCCTCCGACTCCTCAATGGCCAGTGGAGTACAGAACGCAGTCAACACCACAAACGGCGCCCTCCCTCCCCATCTCTCTTTCTCTTTCTGTCTCCCTCTCTCACTCGCTCATTCTCCCCTGGAAGAGGCTACGCTAATTAGCCAGGCTCTAATGAGACAGAATGGCACTGATCTGGTCCGCCGCTGCGCCACCGGGGGGGCCGAGCAGGGGGGCTGGTGCAGTAGGGGAGAGAGAGGGGGGGGAGGTTGGTGTATGCCATCTGTCACCCTGCACCCGCCTGGCACGGCAGTCCCTGGAGTGGAGGAGGGGAGTGGTGGGGGGCCGGTGATGGCGGGGAGTGAGTGCCTCGTTGGTCTAAGGATATGGACTATTGGGTGAAGGTGGGTGGAGGCGGCGGGTGGGGATACTGATAGGAGGAAGGGAGGGTGACCGCATAACTGTGACTGCTTCATGTTTCCAAAGTTGCTAATTTCCTGTTACGGGTAGAATCCGCTTAGTGGTTTTACATGTTTTATATGGACATGAAAGCTTTTCTTAGCTTTAATCTCAGCCAACTATACCAAACCAGACACACACATGCAGCTCTGCTCCAT